GGATGATGAAAAGTTAGTTCGTGATATTTCCTAGTTTTATTAAAAATACATACAATACATTAGATTTATATACAAAGCCGATTTCACTGTTTTTATACTCCCACATTTTCATTTGGACGTATATTGTCGTCACCCCTGTCCGTCCGTCCACAATTTGTTTGTGGACTCTCTACAGGTCACAATTCTTGTCCGATTTATTGAAACTTGAAATATAGGTTTATCCCCAAAAGATCTCGGCTGCTTACGATATTGGCATGTATCGGATCGAAACTTCATGGATTATGGCCCCTGTTTGTACGAAAAATCACGTTTTTAGATTGTGGACACTATAGAGGTCACAATTTTTATCCGATTTTGTTGAAACTTGAAATGTAGGTTTATAACCCAAAGATCTCAGTTCCTTTCGATATTCGGGCATATCAGACGGTAACTTCCTGAATTATGGCCCCTGATTGTACGAAAAATCATGTTTTTAGCTTGTGGACCCTATAGAGGTCATAATTTGTATCCGATTTAAAAAAAAAACGTATTATTATATCACCGTTACACCCTAAGGACGACTGAGTTCGAATTTCGTGAAAATCGGCCCAAAATTGACAGACAAAATGGCCGCCGTTCGTTCTCAAATAGCGTAAAAATATGGTATATCAAGGTTGTGGACCCTATAGAGGTCACAATTTTTATCCGATGTTGTTGAAACTTAAAATGTAAGTTTATTACACAAAGATCTCAGTTCCTTTCGATATTCGCGCATATCGGACCGTAACTTTCTGAATTATGGCCCCTGATTTTACGAAAAATCGCGTTTTTAGATTGTGAACCCTATAGATGTCATAATTTTTATCCGATTTTGTTGAAACTTGAAATGTAAGTTTATAACCCAAAGATCTCGGTTCCTTTCGATATTCGCGCATATCGGACCGTAACTTGTTTTTAGCTTGTGGACCCTATAGAGGTCATAATTTTTATCCAATTTAAAAAAACGTATTATTATTACACCGTTACACCCTAAGGATAGCTGAGTTCGAATTTCGTGAAAATCGGCCCAAAACTGACAGACAAAATGGCTGCCCTTCATTCTCAAATAGCGTAAAAATATGGTATATCAAGGTTGTGGACCCTATAGAGGTCACAATTTTTATCCGATTTTGTTGAAACTTGAAATGTAAGTTTATAACCCAAAGATCTTGGTTATTTTCGATATTCGCGCATATTGAATTTTAATTTCCTGAATTATGGCCCTTGATTGTAGGAAAAATCACTTTCTTCTTAGCTTGTTCTCTATCCATCTCTCGAAAATGTGGGCGTATCCTGCCTGGCAGCCGCTGGTTTGATGTTGGTGGTGCTGATGGTCTTCCTCGGATGGCGCTTCTGGTATTCTGGTATTATTGTTTCTGAAGAAAAAAGAAAATAAATTTGAGGCTCTCAGGAGAGAGCCACATTAGTGTGTTTCCTTCTACGGATTGGATTTTCTAAAAAAAATCGTATTTGTTCCACATCACCGGGTTAAGGCTAGGGATTCTTATATCTAGTTGATTTTTATTAATACTAATGGTTAGGGATAGGATTTGATATATGATTTGTTTTGGGTTGGGGTGGAGACTGGTTTTATTTAATCTAATTTACTGTGCACTAGGATGTCGTTCAGATTTTTATTTTTAGAATATGAAATTATAAGTTTCTGTGTGAATATTTTCGGGTGATTTTCTTGGAGATCAGTATAGTGTTTTCTGATGATTTTGGATGCACTTGCTGCTGTTGCACTAGCCGTATGAATATTCAAACCTAGTGGAGCTGTTGTTTTCAATTTGTCAATCCAGAATTTTTCTCTTGTTAGCTGAAACGTTTTAATTTCTTCTGTAGTTTCAAAGTCGCTCGCTCTTGGTCTTTTCTATTGGCGTGACAATGAGATCAGAAATGTCATGATTTGGTTGGTTGAAATGAATTGAGACCGGTTTGTCTTTTTTGGTGACTATGTCTGATCGTTGACCGTTAATTCTTTCCCTAAGTGTTTTCCGGTATTCAGTATAACATGGTGTTTTCCGGTAGTTTTCCGGTTGTTTTCCGGTATTTTCCGGTAAATAGTATCGCCTTTACCACATGCTCTATAGAAAACACACTGACCTGGATAATTTTGAGTTGTAATACAAAAACTTCGAAATGAAGATAAATATGTAATTATCCACGGCATATATCTCACATTTATTGGTTTTAGACCATCTCTTACGGCATTACGGACCGCAGAAGTGCAACGTAAATCCTAATAAAGAATAACTAACGGATAACTAACTTCACAGCTAGCGACAATAGCGCCCCCTAGAATATCGTCGTATATATGAGTAACCATAAATACACAACATTTTTGCAACACGTGGAATTATCAATATTGCTGCACAATAGCACTGGAATACGTAATTTTCTTAATTTTTCGGTAAGCAAGTTAACTAATCCCTAGATTTTACTTCTACAATTCCCACAAGGGCGTAATACCGCTTTAAATGCCGCTATAAATTATAAATGCATTTTTCTCACATCACGTACGTTGTTGAGGATTTACGTAATTTCTATGCTGTTTTTATTTGATATGACAGTTGATTGGATTCGAAGAGCAGTACTTCATATCAATTGCCCTTTTTTCAAAGATCATAATAATCTCGTTTACATCGTGCGTAAGCGTAATAGCGGTAAACGGCTTTGTAGTAGTAAATCCTTATGACACGTGGACAATACGTGAATGATTAACAATGGACCGCTTCACACCATTGATTAGATTCCCACATATCAATTAACTTCTATTGTTCTACTACCAGACACTCATCATTAATTATCAACACAACACTCAGTATAATCTGTTGACGACTGTATACAACTCTGTAACACCAATCACGAGATTATGTGGCGTCTATACGTGTGGATTATTCTGTACTGGCCGTACAATTGTATAGTTACATGGCGGAGGTCGATCGTAACCATGTTTGAAAATTGGGTTTTAGTTACGGTCATTTTCCATAGCCCTAGGTCTTGACCGGCATATACGGCCGACGTGGAACCCATGGTATGTATGTATGTATGTATGTGCGTGTATATGTTCGGCCATCACACCTCACCACCCTGCTCCACCCCCACGTGTGGTATCAAATTAACCAGCATGACCCCGTGAATGTGTTAGGCTATCGAGTTTGGGCCCCAGTTGAATTGGCCTTGAACCCGAGCGAATCACACTTCGTTGCCGCGCACCAAACCCATGTGATATCAAATTAACCCGCATGACCCCGTGAATATATTAGACTATCGAATTTGGGCGCCGGACGTGTGATGAGATCATGATAATTCATCGAAATCTATCGTTATTACCATTTGAGGTGATCACATTTTCTAGAATCATCATTTGGAAACTTCTAGAAACAATGGAAATTTCTGAAAACAGTGTTTAGCAATAATTGGAAGGTCCTGGCTGGAGGGTTCTAGAAAACGTTGGGAGTTTCTATTTGAACCACAAGGTCTGTGTTCTAAATTTATTGCCATTTCGTGCTGTTGAGTTTATTGTGCTGTTTTGAGAGAAATTATCTGTTTTACATTGTGCTGTTTTAAGAGAAATTATCTATCTGTTTTACATTGTGCTGTTTTGAGAAAAATTATCTCTCTGTTGTAATCCAAGTTTATGATTATAACGATTCAAGGATTATTCATCCTTTCAGATTTGTATATATCATTAAATTGGTTATTCATCCTTTCAGATTTGTATATATCATTAAATTGGTTGTTGTGTAGATTTGTCTGATCCGTGGATCTTGAATCTGTAAACTACAATCGATAATCGGATTTGGGCCCCTTCCGAATTGGGCCGGTGCGAAGCATGATTGACAAGCATACATACATACATACATACATACATATATACATAGACACACCTATACACACAGACGTCTTTGATTTTTTGGGCCCCAGGCGAACTGGGCCCCATGAGAATTTGGTCCCCGGGTGAAGCGTGATAGTCCAACATACATAGATACAGCAAAGTTGGGCCCGGGCAAATTTGGCCCCTGGTGAATTTGAGCCCATGGTGAACTTGGGCCAATGGCAAATTTGGGTATAGTGCAAATTTGGACCCCAGGCAAATTTTGGGCCCCTGGTTAATTAGAGCCCAGACGAATTTGGGCCCTGGGCGAAGCCGAGTAATAAATAGAGTGTAATACAAGCTATTAAGTAACTTTTGGGCCCTGGGCGAAGCCGGGTAATAATTAGGTTGTAATACGAGCTATTAACTAACATTTCATTAATAATTAGATTGTGTTACAAAACAGTTTTTTTGGAATGGTATATTTTTGTAATTATTCCTGGACATTTCCATTCATCATTGCAGAATTACACATTGAAATGTGATGTGCGAGTAACATAAATAACAAAATTGTTGTTTGAACTGATGTTTATAAAACATAAATAACATTGTTGTATAACTGTTTATAAAACTGTTCACTTTGATTTTCTGGCATTAACTAAATATATTTGTTTTGATCTTGCATTTAGTTTATATTAATTGATATTCATATTTTACAGTAAAGCCCGGGAAGCAATAGCATGTGTAAGAGAAATGGCATCGACATGTTCTAATGTTGTACCCCCACAATCTCTATTAGACTTCCAGCGAGCCACTCAACCATTTCAACAGTTGTGTAAGTATAGATAAAGTACCATTTTATCCAGATTTTTGAAGTTAGAAACAATACGCTGAAGAGAGCAAACATTCCTTTTCAAATCGAATTAAAGAACACTTTTTATATGCCCACATTGACTTTATATTTATACACAAATTTTTAAGGTCCTGAGATGACAAACTGTATTGAATTTAAAGAATTTCTGATATTTACTGCTGGAGTTATAGCCCTTGATAACAGTTTTGACTGGGGGGGGGGGGATTTGACACGGAATGTCCCTTATGGGAAAGCACTGAATTTGATTCTACTATGTTACTATAAACCACAATTTTTTACATTTTTTAGGTGGAAACACAGCTAATCCTGCAGGTAAGAAAACAGTTTTTATGTACTTTGTTAAGATTGTGTTGTTATTAGTAAAAGATTGTGTTGTTATTAGTAAGATGTGGTGGGTATGCTGAACCATTATAGAATTCCTGACATCACTTCCAAAACATTTTAATGAAATTGTAGTGTTTAACAACCACATACCAACTATATAACTAAAATAAAATGGATGGCTTTAATTTGTTTTTACAGCTTTTAATAACCCTAGTGCAGATGTAATGAGATGTGCTGGAAAATTACAGACCTGTTCTTCCTTGGTATCTGCTATACCCTTATCATCTCCTCCTTCTGCACTATGTCCGTAAGTTCTTTATATCTTCAGCCAATTCTTCATAATAATTAGATATAATATAAATTATTACCTGTAGCATAAGAGTGAAATACAGAATATAATAGATACATTAGTTGAGAGTTTTATAAAGAGTTGGCCATTCTTTTTATAATAATTCAAAAATAGATGATAAAAAAGAAAAATGTTGAAAATTTCAGTCAAATTACTTTTGTTTTGAACGGAATTGTCACTGTTAGAAGTTTGGACTAGAAATAGGCATCAATTGTGTCTTCACTGTTTATGAGAATTGGCGATCGTTTGATTGACAAACGATAACTCCACCCACATATTCTCGATTTTCAAGTAACATGCTCAATGGCTATGGTAGCCTCGCTTGGCAGGCTTTTCATCACCAGTGTCCGGTTGTGACATCAGCGAGTAATGGTAAACGTTAGCTTAGTCCGCCATTTATTGATTTAATTTTAAATGGACGGGGCTGTTTAAATCCAAACTGTATCCAAGTAATCCGTGGGTGTAAATAATGGTCTTATTAATAATTTCTATAACATCTGAAGCCTAAATAAAGACTTGCAATAGGCAGATTTAGCTCTTGCATAATGTATGTTTAACTCACATTTAATTACTAATTAGAGTGTAATACAAAATATTAACTGTAGCATAATATTAGAGTGAAATACAGAATATTAACTAATTAATTACTAATTAGAGTGTGATACAAAATATTAATTGTGACATAATATTAGAGTGTGATACAAAATATTAATTGTGACATAATATTAGAGTGAAATACAGAATATTAACTAACATTTAACTAATACAAAATATTGACTAACATGTATGTGTGGGTGGGTGTGGGGTGTTTTCCACTTCAAAATTTTCACTGCCGGTCATTTTTGATAATTCACGTGTCTATACCGTATTACCAGCGTGGAGTACACAAAAAAATATATATTGGACTGAAAAATGAAATATAAGTATGGCTTATGATAATTATTTATTAATTAAATATTCCCTTTTGGCAACTTAAATAATCGAATTGGCCGTAGAAACCCATTCCAGTAGCTCACATGTAATTACCACACGACAATACTATATACCGGAGAACAACGAAATACACCGGAGAACAACGAAAAACACCGGGAAACTACCGGAAAACTACCGGAAAACACCATGTTATACTAAATACCGGAAAAACACTAAATACCGGAAACACACACTAAATAGCGAAAAACACCCTAAATAGGTAACCCAGAGCCTAGTCCTCTGTTTGCCGGGAGTTAGGTTTAAGAATTTGGGGGAGAGGTTAAGTCTCAATCATAAGCACTGACCTAGGATGATGAAAAGTTAGTTCGTGATATTTCCTAGTTTTATTAAAAATACATACAATACATTAGATTTATATACAAAGCCGATTTCACTGTTTTTATACTCCCACATTTTCATGTGGACGTATATTGTCGTCACCCCTGTCCGTCCGTCCACAATTTGTTTGTGGACTCTCTACAGGTCACAATTCTTGTCCGATTTATTGAAACTTGAAATATAGGTTTATCCCCAAAAGATCTCGGCTGCTTACGATATTGGCATGTATCGGATCGAAACTTCATGGATTATGGCCCCTGTTTGTACGAAAAATCACGTTTTTAGCTTGTGGACACTATAGAGGTCACAATTTTTATCCGATTTTGTTGAAACTTGAAATGTAGGTTTATAACCCAAAGATCTCAGTTCCTTTCGATATTCGGGCATATCAGACGGTAACTTCCTGAATTATGGCCCCTGATTGTACGAAAAATCATGTTTTTAGCTTGTGGACCCTATAGAGGTCATAATTTGTATCCGATTTAAAAAAAAAACGTATTATTATATCACCGTTACACCCTAAGGACGACTGAGTTCGAATTTCGTGAAAATCGGCCCAAAATTGACAGACAAAATGGCCGCCGTTCGTTCTCAAATAGCGTAAAAATATGGTATATCAAGGTTGTGGACCCTATAGAGGTCACAATTTTTATCCGATGTTGTTGAAACTTAAAATGTAAGTTTATTACACAAAGATCTCAGTTCCTTTCGATATTCGCGCATATCGGACCGTAACTTTCTGAATTATGGCCCCTGATTTTACGAAAAATCGCGTTTTTAGATTGTGAACCCTATAGATGTCATAATTTTTATCCGATTTTGTTGAAACTTGAAATGTAAGTTTATAACCCAAAGATCTCGGTTCCTTTCGATATTCGCGCATATCGGACCGTAACTTCCTGAATTATGGCCCCTGATTGTACGAAAAATCGTGTTTTTAGCTTGTGGACCCTATAGAGGTCATAATTTTTATCCAATTTAAAAAAACGTATTATTATTACACCGTTACACCCTAAGGATAGCTGAGTTCGAATTTCGTGAAAATCGGCCCAAAACTGACAGACAAAATGGCTGCCCTTCATTCTCAAATAGCGTAAAAATATGGTATATCAAGGTTGTGGACCCTATAGAGGTCACAATTTTTATCCGATTTTGTTGAAACTTGAAATGTAAGTTTATAACCCAAAGATCTTGGTTATTTTCGATATTCGCGCATATTGAATTTTAATTTCCTGAATTATGGCCCTTGATTGTAGGAAAAATCACTTTCTTCTTAGCTTGTTCTCTATCCATCTCTCGAAAATGTGGGCGTATCCTGCCTGGCAGCCGCTGGTTTGATGTTGGTGGTGCTGATGGTCTTCCTCGGATGGCGCTTCTGGTATTCTGGTATTATTGTTTCTGAAGAAAAAAGAAAATAAATTTGAGGCTCTCAGGAGAGAGCCACATTAGTGTGTTTCCTTCTACGGATTGGATTTTCTAAAAAAAATCGTATTTGTTCCACATCACCGGGTTAAGGCTAGGGATTCTTATATCTAGTTGATTTTTATTAATACTAATGGTTAGGGATAGGATTTGATATATGATTTGTTTTGGGTTGGGGTGGAGACTGGTTTTATTTAATCTAATTTACTGTGCACTAGGATGTCGTTCAGATTTTTATTTTTAGAATATGAAATTATAAGTTTCTGTGTGAATATTTTCGGGTGATTTTCTTGGAGATCAGTATAGTGTTTTCTGATGATTTTGGATGCACTTGCTGCTGTTGCACTAGCCGTATGAATATTCAAACCTAGTGGAGCTGTTGTTTTCAATTTGTCAATCCAGAATTTTTCTCTTGTTAGCTGAAACGTTTTAATTTCTTCTGTAGTTTCAAAGTCGCTCGCTCTTGGTCTTTTCTATTGGCGTGACAATGAGATCAGAAATGTCATGATTTGGTTGGTTGAAATGAATTGAGACCGGTTTGTCTTTTTTGGTGACTATGTCTGATCGTTGACCGTTAATTCTTTCCCTAAGTGTTTTCCGGTATTCAGTATAACATGGTGTTTTCCGGTAGTTTTCCGGTAAATAGTATCGCCTTTACCACATGCTCTATAGAAAACACACTGACCTGGATAATTTTGAGTTGTAATACAAAAACTTCGAAATGAAGATAAATATGTAATTATCCACGGCATATATCTCACATTTATTGGTTTTAGACCATCTCTTACGGCATTACGGACCGCAGAAGTGCAACGTAAATCCTAATAAAGAATAACTAACGGATAACTAACTTCACAGCTAGCGACAATAGCGCCCCCTAGAATATCGTCGTATATATGAGTAACCATAAATACACAACATTTTTGCAACACGTGGAATTATCAATATTGCTGCACAATAGCACTGGAATACGTAATTTTCTTAATTTTTCGGTAAGCAAGTTAACTAATCCCTAGATTTTACTTCTACAATTCCCACAAGGGCGTAATACCGCTTTAAATGCCGCTATAAATTATAAATGCATTTTTCTCACATCACGTACGTTGTTGAGGATTTACGTAATTTCTATGCTGTTTTTATTTGATATGACAGTTGATTGGATTCGAAGAGCAGTACTTCATATCAATTGCCCTTTTTTCAAAGATCATAATAATCTCGTTTACATCGTGCGTAAGCGTAATAGCGGTAAACGGCTTTGTAGTAGTAAATCCTTATGACACGTGGACAATACGTGAATGATTAACAATGGACCGCTTCACACCATTGATTAGATTCCCACATATCAATTAACTTCTATTGTTCTACTACCAGACACTCATCATTAATTATCAACACAACACTCAGTATAATCTGTTGACGACTGTATACAACTCTGTAACACCAATCACGAGATTATGTGGCGTCTATACGTGTGGATTATTCTGTACTGGCCGTACAATTGTATAGTTACATGGCGGAGGTCGATCGTAACCATGTTTGAAAATTGGGTTTTAGTTACGGTCATTTTCCATAGCCCTAGGTCTTGACCGGCATATACGGCCGACGTGGAACCCATGGTATGTATGTATGTATGTATGTGCGTGTATATGTTCGGCCATCACACCTCACCACCCTGCTCCACCCCCACGTGTGGTATCAAATTAACCAGCATGACCCCGTGAATGTGTTAGGCTATCGAGTTTGGGCCCCAGTTGAATTGGCCTTGAACCCGAGCGAATCACACTTCGTTGCCGCGCACCAAACCCATGTGATATCAAATTAACCCGCATGACCCCGTGAATATATTAGACTATCGAATTTGGGCGCCGGACGTGTGATGAGATCATGATAATTCATCGAAATCTATCGTTATTACCATTTGAGGTGATCACATTTTCTAGAATCATCATTTGGAAACTTCTAGAAACAATGGAAATTTCTGAAAACAGTGTTTAGCAATAATTGGAAGGTCCTGGCTGGAGGGTTCTAGAAAACGTTGGGAGTTTCTATTTGAACCACAAGGTCTGTGTTCTAAATTTATTGCCATTTCGTGCTGTTGAGTTTATTGTGCTGTTTTGAGAGAAATTATCTGTTTTACATTGTGCTGTTTTAAGAGAAATTATCTATCTGTTTTACATTGTGCTGTTTTGAGAAAAATTATCTCTCTGTTGTAATCCAAGTTTATGATTATAACGATTCAAGGATTATTCATCCTTTCAGATTTGTATATATCATTAAATTGGTTATTCATCCTTTCAGATTTGTATATATCATTAAATTGGTTGTTGTGTAGATTTGTCTGATCCGTGGATCTTGAATCTGTAAACTACAATCGATAATCGGATTTGGGCCCCTTCCGAATTGGGCCGGTGCGAAGCATGATTGACAAGCATACATACATACATACATACATACATACATATATACATAGACACACCTATACACACAGACGTCTTTGATTTTTTGGGCCCCAGGCGAACTGGGCCCCATGAGAATTTGGTCCCCGGGTGAAGCGTGATAGTCCAACATACATAGATACAGCAAAGTTGGGCCCGGGCAAATTTGGCCCCTGGTGAATTTGAGCCCATGGTGAACTTGGGCCAATGGCAAATTTGGGTATAGTGCAAATTTGGACCCCAGGCAAATTTTGGGCCCCTGGTTAATTAGAGCCCAGACGAATTTGGGCCCTGGGCGAAGCCGAGTAATAAATAGAGTGTAATACAAGCTATTAAGTAACTTTTGGGCCCTGGGCGAAGCCGGGTAATAATTAGGTTGTAATACGAGCTATTAACTAACATTTCATTAATAATTAGATTGTGTTACAAAACAGTTTTTTTGGAATGGTATATTTTTGTAATTATTCCTGGACATTTCCATTCATCATTGCAGAATTACACATTGAAATGTGATGTGCGAGTAACATAAATAACAAAATTGTTGTTTGAACTGATGTTTATAAAACATAAATAACATTGTTGTATAACTGTTTATAAAACTGTTCACTTTGATTTTCTGGCATTAACTAAATATATTTGTTTTGATCTTGCATTTAGTTTATATTAATTGATATTCATATTTTACAGTAAAGCCCGGGAAGCAATAGCATGTGTAAGAGAAATGGCATCGACATGTTCTAATGTTGTACCCCCACAATCTCTATTAGACTTCCAGCGAGCCACTCAACCATTTCAACAGTTGTGTAAGTATAGATAAAGTACCATTTTATCCAGATTTTTGAAGTTAGAAACAATACGCTGAAGAGAGCAAACATTCCTTTTCAAATCGAATTAAAGAACACTTTTTATATGCCCACATTGACTTTATATTTATACACAAATTTTTAAGGTCCTGAGATGACAAACTGTATTGAATTTAAAGAATTTCTGATATTTACTGCTGGAGTTATAGCCCTTGATAACAGTTTTGACTGGGGGGGGGGGGGGGATTTGACACGGAATGTCCCTTATGGGAAAGCACTGAATTTGATTCTACTATGTTACTATAAACCACATTTAATGTATAGATTCGTCTGTCAGTTCAGTAATTCAGCGTACTTTCTGCCAGGTATAATTACTGATTAAAGCACTATTTAAAGATACGTTCTCACAATAGTATTTATAGGGCCTTTATTTCCAATAAAATTATGACAATTTTGGAGAGAGAGAGATATGGGGTTTAACGTCCACTCGACACAAGCTAGGTCATTTCGAGACTAACTAATAGTTTAATTTTATTTCAATAATTCGCTTGCGCTTAGGTCTCTTTAGCAGTGGGAGGAAACCGAAGGACCCGAAGAAAACCTACGAGGTTGGACAGGCGACCCTACTCCTTTTCACGTACAACCATGCCAGTTGACTCAATGACATACCTTATGATACAGCACACACGTGCTAACCATTCCAAAATATTTTGATAAAATTATAGTGTTTAACAACCAAATGTAGTAATGTACCCTCTATAACAAACAGATTGTCCCTATTCGGCTATGTTGCTGTTATGTGTATAAAGCATATGTTCCACGTCGGCGGTATATGCCAGTCATGACCTAGGGCTATGGAAAATAACCGTAACTAGATCTGACCCATCGGTCATTTTGCACGCCAATTGGTTCAAGGCTAATTCAACTGGGGCCCAAACTCGATAGCCTAACACATTCACGGGGTCATGCTGGTTAATTTGATACCACACGTGGGGGTGGAGCACGGTGGTGAGGTGTGATGGCCGAACATATTCACACACATACAAACATACATACATACCATGGGTTCCACGTCGGCCGTATATGCCGGTCAAGACCTAGGGCTATGGAAAATGACCGTAACTAAAACCCAATTTTTAAACATGGCTGTGATCACCGCCACTGTGTAACTATAAAATTGTACTGCCAGTACAAAATAATTCACACGTACAGAAGCCATATAATCTCATGATTGGTGTTATAGAGTTATAGTCATCAACAGATTATACTGAGTGTTGTGTTGATTATTAATGATGGTAATAGAACAATAAAAGTTAATTGATATATGGGAATACTTTCAAAGGCTTGAAATATCTATTTTTTCATTCAATACCTTTCCTTTTAGTTCTTTGAAATAAAATAATATCATAATGTTTATAATTAAATAAACTATATCAAATTATATCATAATGTTTATTATTGTATAAACCATATCAAATAATATCATAATATTTTTATTATTGTATAAACTATATCAAATAATATCACAATGTCTATTTATTTATAAACTATATCTAATAAAATCATAATGTTTATTGTATAAACTATATCAAATAATTACATAATATTAATTTTTGTATAAACTATATTAAATAATATCATAATGTTTATTATTGTATAAACTATATCAGTACCATAATATTTATTATTAGTATATAAACTATATCAAATCATACTATACTATTCAAAATAAGTAGGGGATATTTGATTTTTAAGTGTTATTAAAGTCACCTAATGAAACTGACGAAGAAACAAATGACAAAATGAAATGAAGTTCACATTCATCGATTTATTCCAAATGATCGTTAGACTAAGTAAGGCACAGACTGACCATTATAAGGGTAAAATGATACCCGGGGTCAAACAGCAAAGTTACCACAGCATCACAACCAAGTCAGTAACGGGTAAATCCTCCTCTGTTTGCCAAACAAGCATTGATCCGACGTGGCATACTCCTAATGAGACGTCTAAGGTAATTTTGGTCCAGATTGTCCCATTCCTGTTGCAACGCAGCAGCAAGTTCTTGGACATTGGCAGGACGTTGTTGACGTTGACGTAACCTCTGTCCAAGCATGTCCCAGACATGCTCGATGGGGGAGAGGTCGGGACTCAGTGCTGGCCAAGGTAATGTGGTGATGTTCTGTTGTTGGAGGTAACCTGTAACGATCCTGGCCCTGTGACATCTTGCGTTGTCATCCTGGAAGATGAAACGGCGGCCATGACGTCGTGCGAACGGCACAACATGGACTGCCAAGATGTTGTCCCGGTAGTACTGGCCTGTAACACGCCCTGAAACAACATGTAAAGCCGTTCTTCCAGCAACAGTGATGCCTCCCCACACCATAACAGAACCACCCCCAAATCGATCATGTCTGATGACGTTAACGTCTTGGAAGCGCTCGTTTCGACGACGCCACAGCCTCCTACGTCTGTCCAAAAAATCAACAGTGAACCTTGACTCATCTGAAAACATCACATTGCTCCAGCGTCGATTATCCCAGTGTTGACGATCCCTACACCAACGACGTCTTGCCTGAATGTGATGATCTCTCAAACAAGGGATCACGCGAGGACGTCGGGCGCGAAGGTGACCCCTATGCAGTCGATTCCGAATCGTCTGGCCACTCACTCTCACACCAGTGTCTGTTTGAAGACGAGCGCTGATCTGATTTGCTGTGATGACACGATTTCTCAAGGCCAAGGTACGGATAAATCGATCCTGGGCTTGAGTTGTCGCCCTTGGTCGACCTGAGCGTGGTCTGTCCTGTACAGATTGTGTATCACGGTATCTGGACCATAGCCTGCTTATGACAGACTGAGAAACATTCATCGTCCGCGCCACAACCGCCTGTGTTGTACCGATCTGTAGCATGCCAAGGGCACGTAACCTTTCATTTTGGGTAAGCCGACGCATATCAAAATTTGTTTTCTGGTCACTAAAACAATTAAACTGATGTTTCCACCCTGGAATTCAATGCCACAATGACTGTAACATTCAAAGTCAGAGTCGTGCAAATCTTGGGTTGGACCCCCATGATGATCCCAAGCATCACCTGCATTCCATGCGGTAGCTATTGGTGCGTTTGGGCGTCACATGTAACTGGAAATGTTTCTTCTGTTAGGTTCTATAGTGACTTTTTTCGTAGTCATTTGCATATTTTAGTATTATGCCCCCAAAATCAAATATCCCCTACTTTTTTTGAATAGTATATAATATTTATTAGTATATAAACTATATCAAATTATTACATAATGTTAATTTGTGTATAAACTATATCAAATAATATCATAATGTTAATTTGTGTATAAACTATATCAAATAATATCATAATGTTTATTATTGTATAAACTATATCAATACCAAAATATTTATTATTAATATATAAACTATATCAAATCATACCATAATATTTATTAGTATATAAACTATATCAAATAATATATTATCATAATGTTTATTCGTATATAAACTATATCAAATGATATATTATCATAATATTTATTCGTATATAAACTATATCAAATAATATAATGTTTATTATTATTATATAAACTATATCCACAGGTGATGGTGACGGATTAACTGATACAAGTTTGGCCTCTAACTCTATCCTATCTCCTTCAGGTAGGTCATTTTGGTTTATGGAAGGTTCGATAATCATCCCCAGATCTTCAGAATATTACCGTGATCCCTTGTCATCAATTATCTTTTTGCATTTTGTTAAAACCCCAGATCATCATTTCCATATCTAAATTTTCACAGCTAAATCCACATACAAAAATGTACTCAAATCGATTGTTTATCATTAATTAAGAAAACAAAACCCAAATGTCAATGGTAGAAAATCTCCTGGCTTGGATTGAATCTGATTAAAAAGAGAAAAGAGGCCCATCAAAAGATTTAACTCAATACTTATCTGTGACTGACTTGATTATATCATCTGCAGAGAATACCAAATGCTTGAACATTTGTAGTTTGTCCTGTCTTTGTAAACACTGGAAACAATGAACAATTTTTTTGTTTTGGACTAACATTCAGCTTTAACAACATTGTAGTTTAATTGAATTAAGATTGACTCAAATGATGATCAGCAACTTTATAAGCCAGGAAACAAGCGTCCGAAACTCCACATAAATCACTAGTTTTTTGTACCCTCTTCAATGTCTTCAATAAGTCAGACATTTCTGTGGCCACAGACACGGGTCAAAATACATCATTACATCAGAGTACAAAAGGATCTTAACATACCATATACTTTTTAATTAAATGTATTTCCAAAATGAATACATGTTTTGAATATTTTTCTAACCAATAATTTTACACAAAGGGAAAGACCTAATCACTGACTATAGATAGTGAATGAAACAGATTTTATGTAATAATATGACTGCCACCTGTACAATTGGTTATAATTTTAGAGTGTGGTTCAATGGTCCAAGAATGTGGAAGTATGGTCAATCAAATTGATTTCAGTGATATGCAGGAAACGTGCAGGTGAGCTTTCAAACAAACTGCTTGAATTTTTTAAATCATTATTTTTATCACTCTTGTCAGTGTTCGCCCCCCCCCCCCCCCTGGATCCGCCTGAGTGATTCAAAAGAGAGTGAGTTAGACAAATATCTATCAGAAACATTTGCATTCAACTCACGATGGTCTGATAGTTGATTGTGTTTGGCCGTGTATAATTTGTGTCCTTGTAAGAAACAGTAGGACGATAAACCCCATTTCATTTGTAAGAATATAAGGGGAAGAATATCATCGGGTTGGAACACCTTTCGGTCGAACATGTTTTATTGTTTACATCCGAAGAAAATGACAAAGAAAACCTATTATTTCAATATATTACACACCGTATTAGGGAGCATTGTGAGTTTACCTAAAAAAAAACGAGCTGCCCTTGTGAATGTCCCGAATTGTACCCCATTAAATTGAAGTAAATAACCACGAAATGCCTCATGATGGCCATCTTGTGCCAGGGTGGCATTCTGAATCTACACATACTGAAGATATATAATCCATCAAAAAACATTAGGTGGACTATATTTCCAGGTATGTCCACCTGCTGCAAAGAAAGTTAATGAAGGGTGGATTAGAGAATACAATGTGTTATGGCATCATGCGTACCATAGTGATGGCTTGTCAAAACTATTATATACTTTAACATAATCTGAGGTCCGGTGAAATATCTGGCCTGTTCGTTCAACCTGCCTATAGGTAAATCTGGCACTATAGCCTTGGATTGACCTTTCGAGTTAATGCTAATCATTCTGCACACAGACAGCTATCTACTTTGAGAGCTGATCTCTGCCATGAATGGCTGTTTTATTAAAAAATTAGTAAGCTGTACGATTTGGTAATGCGGTTCTAGAATTTTAAATTGTTTATACAGACAAAGCTTAAACAAATACTTTCAATTACATTTATCATGGAAGCAGAATTAATATATACTTCTCAAAATTTTATTAGTGTTTCGACTAAAACTGTTGTACCGTACTATAGGAATTAAGATGTGGGTCAACCAGCCCTGTGTCTGTTCTGAAGCATAGCTTATTGTAAACAGCGTAAACTCCTCAGGCAACTGGTATGATTTGTTCTAGTCCGCTAGGATTCACAGACAACCCTACCTTTATCCTATGATTTCAGTGGCTTAAGAGGTATGGTTCAATGTATGGAAAATGTTGGTGATAGCTGTGGAGATCTTTTTCCACAAATTGAGGGGCAATTAAATAAAACTAGAGATCAAATCAAGTCAGTTTGTAAGTAAAAATTTCTTAACTACGTTATAAGATCAGCATAAGATATATTCTTTAAGGGATCCTGTGGTTTATTTGAATCTTAAAAAAATATCGTTAGCCTAATATTGTCCATTACCTTTCGAAGAATGCTGGGATCTATTAGAATTAGTTTTCAAACTTTTGGAGACAAAATAGCTCTGCTTCTAATGGATTTGTAATGTTCAAACAGGCTCCGTCAATTCAAGTCTGATCAACATGGCAATTGGCATACTTGACAATTGAATTTCATCCAGCAACATGGCCAGTTCCTGGTCCATAATACGATTGTACTTGTTTATTGAACAAGCTGCATTTTAATTTATTTACAATTATTTAGAAACATAGATACAGCCCAGGCCGACAAACAAAGAACTACTGTAAATGTTTATTACTATTTTTCTGCGTATTTATTATTATATACTGTCTCTTGATATTACAGGTGGTAATGTAGCTACTGATACAGGTAAAATACTCATTTGATTATATTTACAAACAATCATTTTAATTAAAATATCTGAAATATGACATAATATTATATTGTTGTATTATACACCCATATTTTCATGTGGACATATTATGTTGTCACCCCAGTCCGACTATTTTGTTTGTAGACACCCTACAGGTCACAGTTTTGATCCCATTTTGATGAAACTTAAAATCTATGTTTTTATCTTAGTAGAACTCATATGGATTTGATTGTTACTTTAAATAATAATTGTGCTTGTAGTGCTTGGTAAAACATATGTCCATATCTCAGTTTTAATTTGAATGATGATAATAAGGTGCATTGACGTAGGTTGATAGGTAACAAGTTCCACCGTTTACCATCTACTTCAAACGAATGAGAGGGGACCACAGTAGCTAAGTGGGTAAAATGCTGGCTCGCTAGCCTGAAGGTCTTGTGTTCGATCCCTGCATTGGCTGAGAACTTTCATCAGGATTTTCCAACGCGGTTTCTCCTTGACTGACAAGAACAGCTGTCTAGTCGTTTGGATGGCAAGAAAAACCGAGGTCCCATCTATACATTGGCGGGCAGGTAAAAAAATCCCTTGGCACTTGGAATTCGACATCAGAGTAGGCCATACTGTTGCCGGGCAATATTTCCCTCATAGCACAATGTATGGCATATGCGCATCTTCATTAGCCCAGTCAAAGCAGAACAGTAGGAAGTTATACCACATTTCATTTCATTTCATTTCAAACGAATGAGAACTAAAGTTCCTGTAACTTGGTATGATCAGTTGATTGAGAGATTTCAATCATAGATTTTTTGATGGAATGTAAGACTGAACAAGAACACAAACATATTTAGGTGTGGTGCCATTTACACAGTTAAACGTTAGAGTATTTAAAAATATATGTTTATATCCCAAAGTTCTAGGTTCCTTTCAATATTCACGCATATCGGACAGTAACTTCCAGGATTATGGCCCCTGAATGTTCTAAAAATCACGTTTTTAGTTTGTGGACCCTATAGAGGTCACAGTTTTATCAGATTTAAAAAAACCTGTTTAAGTATAAGTTTGTTACACCATAGTTCGAATTTCTTAAAAATGGGACTGAAATCGCACAACAAAATGACCACTCCCTGTATTCAAATCGTGTAAAAGTAAGTAATATCAATGTTGTGGATCCTCTAGAGGTTACAATTTTTATTCGATATTGATGAAGAAGCTTATAACATATGTTTATGTCCAAAAGATCTGGGTTCATTTAGATACTCGCTCGCATTGAAGGGGGGGGGGGGGGTCTTTGATGGCTGAATGGTTTGTATGTGCGCGCTGCATCATCATAAGGTTTGTTATTGAACCATGTGGTTTCGATTTTCGATTCCCTGGTTGTACGTGACAAGGAGTAGGGTCGCCTATCCATCCTCGTGGGTTTTCTCCGGGTCCTCCGGTTTCCTCTCACTGCTAAAGACCCCAACACGAAAGCGAATTATTGAAATGAAATTGAACCAAATGTTAGTGCCAAAATGACCTAGTTTGTGTCAAGTGGACGTTAAACCCCATTTTTCTCTCTCTCACTGCTCGCATTGAACGGTAACTTCCTGGATTATGGGCCTTGATTGTACGAAAATCATTGTTTCTTTTAGCTTGTTCTCTGTCCACCTCTTTCAAAATGTGGGTGTATTTTACATGGAAACCGCTTATTAGGTTGTTGATCTCTAGAAGTCACAATTTTTATCTGATTTTAAAAACCATTTAAATATATCACTGTTACACTCTAATGATGGTGGAGTTCAAATTTTGTGAAAATTGGACCAAAACTGCTCAACAAAATGGCTGCTCCTTTTTACCAAATAGTGTAAAAGTATGTATTACCAAGGTTGTGGACCCTCTATAGATCACAATTTGTATCCGATTTTGATGAAACTTAATATGTATGTTTATATACCAAAGATCTTGGTTCCTTTTGATACTTGCGCATATCAGATTCTAACTTCCTGGATTATGGCCCCAGATTTTACGTAAAATCGCTTTGTTTTTTTTAGCTTCGTCTCTGTCCCATCTCTTGCAAAATGTGGGTGTATCTTGTATGACAAACGCTTGTTTATTTTTACATAATTTCAATATTCTTGTATTGTTTTTATAGGTGTTACCATTAATCCTGTGGTAATCGAATGTAAAGATAAACTAAAGACCTGTAATGCAATATTAGCTGATGTCCCCAGTCAGACAAGCACAGACGTAATGTGTCCGTAAGTGCTATACTAGATATCAGTAACAGAATAAAGGAACATACAAGCTCTGTAGTTCACAAAATATAGAAAATATAGTAAAATTGTTTATCCCAGGTTCATACAAATGGCAGCCAATACTCAAAATCATATAAACTTCAAAATGATCAGTCATATTTGCACCTTTCGAAATAGTTTCGGTATCACTCATTGATACAGATAATTTTAACAATTCTTTTGTAAAATATTTTATTGAGAATACATACTAACAGATCATACTAGAATTATCAATGTGTGCCTCTAATTTCAGTCATGCCAAGAAACTTACATCGTGTGTCGATCAACTGTTTTCACAGTGTTCTAAAATTGTTCCAGTACAAACTCTAATGAAGTTTGAATTAAGTATTGAACCATTTGTTAAAATGTGTAAGTATGCTAGATTAAACAAATATATCAGTTGAAGAAATATTGTAGGTCCCAAATTGTTTTATTGATCAAACTGTTTATATTCCTGCAGTATATATTATAAACTCATGTTAATTATTAACTTTCCTGACTTGTGCATAGATTGTACTGTAACAAACTTATATTAAACTAGGCTTATGTCGACTGAGTATTCCGACACCCTGCATAATCCGACATATGGTAACAATCCCGTGCGATGTCGGATTTGACAGAGTCCACTGTAGTTGTAAATGTGACTATGTCGAAATGATTCAAGAGCTGGGGGCAACTGAATTTGGAGTGTTTGTATCGACTCGGAACTGATAATGCTTACATTTAACACATGACTGTTAGCTTATTTGTAATATGATCAACATAAAGACGAATAGCCTTAGAAGATGCATCCCAAAGGCATGTTCATTCTAGCCACAATTCTAATATTACATTGAAAAATCGATGTCTTCGCCAGCTTCCATTTTGTCTGTTTACACAGTCACATGACATCTCTCTATCTTGAGATGCCCTTTTCATGGAAACGAGTTGAGGTTCTAAGAGGCGCCCATGTCGACCTATTTTCATTTGAAATCATTTCCCAAAATGTGAGTTTATGTCAGTTATCCCACTGAGTATTTAAACAGTATGCCCTATTTTACTACCGATATAAATATGAAGAATATGGACACCCTTCGGGACTAAATCTTATGAAATTGTATAGCCATTCGTTGCAAAAGTTCTTAAGTGTAAAATTTGATTTAAAGCGAGAATTTCATATTTTACAAGAAAGTCAAAACATAATTATTTCTATGTCTTTTGCTCAATAGGTTGTCAGCTCACTATTATATGATCATAGGTATCATTCTCACACTTAAAAATCATTCACCCCGGAAATAATAACACAATTACCTCCCTTGTTTTTCTATTCCCCACATGGAATAGCTATCTTCAAACGTTTGAATTTGAAAATTATATTTTTGCCAATTTATCAACTGGCAATAGTGAATTATAGGATTAATAGGATTATTCTTTAACAAGGTAGGACTGTTTATAGATACCATCTATTTTAAGGCTTTATTTTAATACATTTTAAAAATATAACTTAAAAATATGAAATTATCGCTTTAAAATGGTTCCAATCCAACGTGTGACATACGCTCCAATATACGTGACATATATGGCAAATCTAAAACTTAGTGAAGATGGCTAGGTAATTTTATCACGTCATGATCATAAAACTCGACCGCTCCCCGACAGTGTGATTGTAGACTAAGAATGCATGTCTTGACGAGTTCCAATTTATGCTATCTAATACTAAAAAAGCTTAGTGCGTATTACATATTTCAATAACCTAGTCCGGTTATCCAAAAAATTCCCACTTGTATATATCATTTTAAAAGACACAGTCAAATGGGTTAGGAGCCTCCGAGTCTATGCAAATAAGCATTTTATAACAGCAATTCTTTAGCCGACTCTCTGTTCTACAACAACGGAAGCAGTTGGTCCGGTGATACAACATTGCGTCAGTCCATTCAAGACCTATTTTGTGCTCCGGGGCACAATCTCACTTAAGCCTGATGAGTTCCAACTAGTCTCTTTATGGGAGAAATCTGGGACGGCTACTCGCCACTCATAGATTTCTAATTCTATTTTACTACAGTTTTTTTCTTCCCCTGAGTAGTGAGTAGTGCTTTATTTTATCACTATTTTCCATGACTATGCACTCTTTTATTACTATTTATACCACAGTACGTATTTCCCTATTTTACTATGCTTATCCTAGTCCATTTTATCAGTTTTTGAAACATTATCTCACTGTTTTACCATGGATTTGAAACATTATCTCACTGTTATACCACAGTTTACCACACCAATCTTAAACACTACACACTATTTTACGACTCTTTTCCCATTGAGTAGAATCTATGGACTATTTTACCATTGTCTACACTACCAAGTTTATCACCTATTTACCACTTGGTTTTCCAGTGTGCATCAATTTACCACTGTTTTCCACACCAAGTTTATACAGTTTACCACTGTTTTCCACACCCACCAAGTTTAAATAGCGTGCACCAATGTACCACCGTTTTCCAGACCAAGTTTTAACAGTGTGCAACAATTTACTACTGTTTTCCATGATGCCAAGTTGAAACAGTGTACACCAATTTAACACTGTTTTCTACACCAAGTTTAAATAGTGACAACCATTTTACCAAGTTGAAAATACACTGTTTTACCGCTGTTTTCTATCCAATCGCCCCTACGGAGTTCAAACAGTATCCACAATTTTACCACTTTCTTGTCCCCCGCCTTTCGTCCATGCTTTCCCCCTCATTGGTCAATGCTTTGGGACAAGATAACTTTGATTCTATTTGATAGAGAGTGATGAAACTTGGTGTATGATAATCAGTTTGATTGCTTGATATTTTTGAAAAAAATAAATGTTCGATTAATTAATGTCATCTATTTATTTTGGGATTTCAGCGGGGGACATCAGTCTCACTGTTGGCTTGTTCCCTTCACTTTCCTAAAAACAGTATATTACACTGTTGTTTTCCCTTCCTTTTTCCCAACCAAGATGAAAGAGCGTGCACTATTTATAACACTGTTTCCCGCCATAGAACTAAAACATTAAATCTCTAAGATTGTGTACGTTAATTGTATTCTTCAGGTGAGAATCCGGCAACTACTCAACTTCCAGTTACTGGTGAGATATATATTTTAAAATTTCTAATGTAGTTATACACAGAGAATGATTTCTGTAGTTTAGTCAGACTGCTAAAGGCAACCAGACACATCTATCCCATTCAATATTGTGTGATGTAATATGGTCATCATTTATGTAGATCTACCATGCCTGTTTGCACACATTTACCTTAAGATTTCTCTTAATACTAGGGTTTTGATTTAAAATGTTTTGGATGCTAATTTGCTGGTAGGGCGAGTTATTTCGCCCTTTTGAGTAAGAATTAATTGTGCTTTATGGGCATGATAATTTTATTTATTAAAAATTGGTGGGATTAATTTGGGGGACAAATGTAGAAGACTAAAACTTTATCTCTTGAAACCGCTAGTCATGAGGGTTTTTTTTCAGGCAATATATAGATTTTTAACCGGTCGACGTCATTATGACGTCAAGTGGTCAGGCTTTTTTGTATGCCTATTTTAATCGTCTACTGTCGAATAATTATAAGTGATAGACTCTTGACACCAATAAAAAAGTTGAAGGGGATAAGTTGATCTATAATTTGCAAATCATTCTAAATCCATCTTCAGAATCGGTGTCATCGATATAATCCGAGTCGGAATAATTCATAAGTATTTCAACCAATTCGAGCGTCTTTAAATTACGTTTTTCGTCATAAAATGTTGAACAAAGACATGTTAGTCTGATCGTTAATGTAAATCCGTCGGCTTTTCGGGTAGAAATCGTGGAATAAGCTTTATTTTGTAGGTTTTGATGTTTGATTACAAAAAACAATGTTGACATTTTTTTTGAGTAGGTCTTCACAGTATGGGAGGCCATTATTTGAGGGTAGCCATTTTGCGATAATATTCCAAATTATTTTTTATTTTCACCTTATTATCCCGCGACGAACGAAGTTAGGGAGGGATATTGAAATGGGGTTCGTCCGTCCGATTTCGTTTCCGGAGCATATCTCATAAACCGTTCAAGATATCTTTCTGAAACTTTGCACACATATCAACCTATTACAGTAGTTGTGCCTTTTGCTATTTAGGAATTTCTGGGATTTATATTTTTTTGTGTTTCCATGGAAACAAAAATGACTTAGTTTTTGGTGTACAATTTTGTTTCCGAAGCATATCTTATAAACCGTTCAAGATATCTTTCTGAAACTTTGCACACACATCAACCTATTACAGTAGTTGTGCCTTTTGCTATTTAGGAATTTCTGGGATTTATATTTTTTTGGGTTTCCATGGAAACAAAAATGACTTAGTTTTTGGTGTATAATTTTGTTTCCGGAGCATATCTCATAAACCGTTTAAGAAATCTTTCTGAAACTTTGCACACACATCAACCTATTACAGTAGTTGTGCCTTTTGCCATTTAGGAATTTCTGGGATTGATATTTTTTTGTGTTTCCATGGAAACAAAAATGACTTAGTTTTTGGTGTACATTTTTGTTTCCGGAGCATATCTCATATTCTGAAACTTTGCACACACATCAACCTATTACAGTAGTTGTGCCTTTTGCTATTTAGGAATTTCTGTCATTTATATTTTTTGTGTTTCCATGGAAACAAATTTGACTTAGTTTTTGGTGTACAATTTTGTTTCCGGAACATATCTCATAAAACGTTCAAGATATCTTTCTGAAACTTTGCACACACATCAACCCATTACAGTAGTTGTGCCTTTTGCTATTTAGGAATTTCTGGGATTGATATTTTGTGTGTTTCCATGGAAACAAATTTTACTTTGTTTCTGGAGCATATCTCATAAATCGTTCAAGATATCTTCATGGCACTTATTTTGAATTTCTCAGATTTGATAATTTTATGTGTTTCCATGGAAACACATTTGACTGTTCAAGATACCTTTAAAATAATTTTACCCATTATTTCATTTTCTGAAATCCAGCCTTCCGTCCTGATTTTGTTTCTGGAGCATATTTTATTATCTGTTCAAGAAATCTTTTTGAAACTTGTACAAACATAGTATTTTATTTTCTGATGTACAAGTTTATTGTTTAACATACAGCAGCTATTTGAGGTAGGCAAAGGTTGTTGTGCAAACCTTACAGGGAGTAGTGACCCTGCCTTGCCGAGCTACTGTGATCAGAGTATGAAATTCTGTGAATTGATATACCATGTGTCGGAATATGAGATTTGTCTAAAGCTCCAGTTCCCTCCACTTGCAAAATATCTCTATTTTCTATGTAGTCTTGTCTAATTTTTAAAACCAGAGCTTAATGTCATAAATTATCTCAAATCTTCTAGTAAATAGCAATCAGTCATTTGTTTTCAGAAATAGAGAGCAATATCTACTGAACAGGGCTACAATATTAGGACCAGTGACACTGTTTGCGAAATCTGATACATTTTTATATTGATTACCAATAGCATAAACAAGTTACTTTTCCTTATTTCTTCCAAACAAGTGCAAGGGCGCGGGATGTTGATGACTAGTCATCTTGTTTATAATGTTATCGACATATCAACTGTGATTTGGCAATGTATTTATATTGGCAGCATTCATGACTATATCTCAGATTGTTTTCCATCATTTCCTGATGATATTTCCAAGATGGCGCCCATTTTTAGCGGAATAATCGGTCGATGTGCTGATTTTGATTAAGTAGTAGTGTTTGGTGTCAATATATATGTTTTCGGGGTCACAAATTACATTCCTGACATTAACAACCTTGTAAAATGATCACATGTTCATATACTTAGCATATTACCAAGATGGCGGGCATTTTTGGCGTGGAAAATGAGACGATGTGCAGATTTTGATTAAGTGGTCGTGTTTGGTGTCAATATATATGTTTACGGGGACGCAGAATCAATTTCTGACATTTACAACCTTGTAAAATGATCACATGTTTACATATTTAGTATATTTCCAATATTGCTGCCACTTGTGGCGGTAAAATCGGACGATGGTTTGATTTCGATTAAGTAGTTGTCTTTGGTGACAATATATATGTTTTCGGGGAGGCAGATTCGATTTCTGTCATATACAACTACGAAAAATGGTCGTATGTTCACCAATTTAGGATATTTCCAAGATGGTGGAAATTTTTCTAAACACATTATTAGCATTTATTTATCATCGATTTTCCTGGGAAAGTAAAGCCTATTCCTAGCATGAAGGCAAAGAGAGCATAGCGGCAGCGTGGTGCTTACGCCACGTGCCCATCATGCGTCTGCAACGACCACACCAAGCGCTTACTACAAGATCTTTCTACACTCATGGCCAAGATCTGGCTGCCCGAAAAGTGTTCCCACCATGATCTCGCGGTTACCAGTCAGACCGGGATACTTTCTCACCACACTCCAGTGACATGCCTACCAGGCGTAAGGCGTTCTCTCGTCACGCTTATAGAGACTGTGCCATGCTCACCCGTCCTCATTCACTTTCAAAGCAGAAAACAACCAACTGTCAAGCAATTAAGAACATTTCATAGTTTTCTTGAGGTTTCCTCTTTGGGTGCTATACTGGAGCTGATGTACGAGGCTCAGTATCTTCCCTATATATACATAAAGGTCGTAACAGCATAGCAAGCATATGGCCAGGAGCTTCGTTCCAGCCTGACAGCAACGTGGATGATAGTGGTGGGGACGTGGCTGTAAATGAAATACTTGCTAAGAAGCCCTCATAGCATAGATTATGTTATCAACTGACTTCCAAGATGATTGTAGAACGAACATGTGGAATGATATTGCGCTGGAGTTCAACTACAACATTGTTGGATAATATACCTAATGGGTAAACTCTGCACAGGCTTCCAGGAACATGCTACAAGCTTATACATAGCAGAATTGGATTCAGAAACCTTAACAGTATAATGTGTTTAGAAAACGTTCTGCCACAAACAAAAATATGCTGAATGTGTGAACATACCACCATTTCACGCAGTTGTAAATGGCAGAAATCGAATCTGTGGCCCCGAAAAACAAATATTGACACAAAAATGCGACTACGTAAACGGAATCAGCACATCGTCCCATTTTCACGCCGGACATGAAAGCCATATTGGAAATATGCTAAATATGTGAACATGTGGTAATTTTACACAGTTGTAAACGGCAAAAATGGAATCTGCTCCCCCATAAATATATCCTGGTACCATAGACGACTACTTATTCAATATCCGCAATATCCGCACCATCAGCACATGGTCCTATTTTCCCACCAAAAATGACCGCCATCTTGGAAATATGCTAAGTATATGAACATGTGATTATTTTACAAGGTTGTAAATGTCAGGAATGGAATCTGTGGCCATGAAAACATATATTTTGACACCAAGCACTACTACTTAATCGAAATCAGCACATCGTCCGATTTTCCGCCAAAAATGGTCGCCATCTTGGAAATATCATACTGAAATGATGGAAAACAGTCTGAAGTATAGTCATGAACCCTGCCAATATTAATACATTGCCAAATCACAGTTGATATGTCGATAACATTATAAATAAGGTGAAAATAATAAAATAAGTTGGAATATTATCGCAAATGGCTACCCTCAAATAATGGCCTCCCATACTATGAAGACCTACGAAGAAAAAATGTCAACATTGTTTTTTTGTAATCAAACATCAAAACCTACAAAATAAAGCTTATTCCATGATTTCTACCCGAAAAGCCGACGGATGGGAATTAGGTAACAAACCGAATCCGACTATGTCTTTCTCAATGCACTTGACAAGACAAGTTCCTATCTGACACGCATGCGTGGCCATATCAATTAAATAAGAAACTAAATACTCAAATGCGGCTTATAAAAAAGGTTCTTGCTGTGGTCGACTTTAGTCGACCGTGACCACTTAGCTGTATAACGTTGTGGTGATCATAGTCGACAATGACCGGTTAAGGGTTAACCCGCACTAAGATTACTCAGATTGGTTATATTTTAAAAATACAAGATGAAAATATCAACAGTAGCTAGATTCATCGTCTCCTGGCTTGGAATCATTCAGATTAAATAGAAATACATCAAAACACATAACCAACGATTATGCTTGTCTTGTCCCCTTTATTTTCTAACGTCTGCAGAGGCTGCAAGTTTTCAATTCATCATATCTTTGTAGATACTGAACTGAATTGAACCATTTTTAGACTGATATTCCCAATCTTGTAGTTTGCAAGGGATTGTCTTTGACTAGACAATAGGAAAGTTTATGTTTATGTATGATTACCTTTCTAGACAAAAGGAAGAATCCTCACTTACTCAACCTGGTTATGCGATTGAATCGGTTTTGTAGCTAATTATGAGATTATAAATGTATTAAAATTCTAATCAATCTATTATTTTAGAATATGTTGAAACGTCAACTGTAATTACTTTAGATAAAAAACCATCAGTGACACTACAAGGTAATCTCTCTATTTCCATGGGCTGTATTTAGTTTTGTTTTAATTACACCATCAGTTATACAGATATAATGGTCAGATTGAGACTGGGGGAGAAAGGGGGCTGGGGACAATGCCCACTTCACACAAATTGGGTTATTTTTGGATTAACATGGCATATCTTTATTTTAATAATAATAATTTATGTGTGCTTAGGGGGTTTTAGCAGTAGGAAGAAACTGGAGGACCAGAAGAAAACCTATCAGACAGATGACCCTACTCTTTGTCACATACAAGTCTGAGATCAGTGGATCCAATGCCAGACTTTATACCACCTAAAAGGGAATTAGCGAGAACTTTTCGGTCTGCACTAACCGATGTAGAACCTGTTTTAACATTAAATATTATGATGTAGAATTTCTTTAAAATATGCTGTAGAATCTGTTTTAACATTGATATTATGTGAAATCTGTCCTAAATATTATGCTTTTTTTCAGACTGTGGTAACAAGATTCAAAAATGCATGACTATGTTTAATTCCTTCTCTTTTGAAAATGGAAAGAAATCCATGTGCATGTAAGTAAAGAATGATGAAGGTTGTGTATGTTTTATGCTTAGTTCTCATAGAAGACTTCATACAACTTTTCATTTTTCGGAATTTTACGTAACTAACAAACAAAGTGGTTTCATTCTTTCACCCCCCGGAGAATGATGTTAAATTTTATTTGTAATCATAATAATAATCAAAAAAGCCCATAAATTACTTGTGGCTTAGGTGATGATAATTCACATTGGTATAAATGAAATTGTCAGCCCATAGAGAGGTGATAGGTATATCCTATATCACTACTATATTTATTTACAGGGATTTAAAGAAGATGCTAGAATGTAATGAGAACACTGTTTTCCAATGTAGAAATGTTGTACCTGCTGGTGTTCAAGCTCAAATTGAAGGTCAATTGAAAAAGGCAAAGGATAACTTTGAATTTACTTGTAAGTAATTTAGTTTCAAATTATGAAATATGAAAATGTTCTGCATTTAATAAAATATATACACATTTATCATAAATTTCTAATTTCTTTCTATTGTTTAATTTATATTTTGGTTTTCATCAAGAAAATAAAACATTAGGTATAAAATTTAATCTCACTATGGGTTGATGACATCCTTTCAATATATAATGCTAGCAATTATTTGGATTTCATTTAACCCCATACTTGCACCATTTACTCGAAATTGACAAGAAACCCAGTGTTCAGTCCTGATGAGGTTGCATTAGTCATTGTATCTCAATAAGCATGAATGCTTCTTTTGTTACGGGGAAAGAAATGAAATAAAATGAAATGGAGTTTAAAGATACATTTCTGCGTACAAACTGGGTGATTCAGTGATATATTTGGACTAAAAACCTATTCAAACTCTATCGAAATTTTGCTTCAAATCATTCTCAAAAGATTGTATTTTCAAGGGAATACCCCTGCTATAAAAATATATATTAAAAGTGGTCATGTTTGTGTCACGTGACTTGGCTAACGCAGTAACTAGCAACAGGTGCGAAGCCGGACGAGAATTCATTGCATATACAAGTCGATGTTGTCTTTATAAATATCGAAGCCTAATTAAATTCTCGGATTATCCACTGCCCACATATTTTTCTGTGGTGTTTATCTCAGAAACTGTTGAATGCTTAAGCTCACCATCTAGTTTATCAACATAAGCATCAAGTGCTCACTAACGCTGAGAAATCAAATAATCTTCGCATGTAACCTTTGACGAAACTCAAGCAGAAATCCCTAATCATCGGGTTGCCAGTTAAGGAAACCCTTACATTTTTGTCCTGTATGCGCTCCATGAGTGTTTTTCAAGGAATCCAGTATTTTTCTAGTAAAATTGGATGTTTCTATTTTCCATATACCAAAATTGCCATACTTTTATTGGAAATAATCAACCAATAAAGACTTTTCTGGGAAAGTATCTTTAATGTCCTACTGTTCTGCTCTAGGTTAACGGGGAAAGGGGCTAACATTTCATATTTCATCCTATAATTCTAACCATATGCTGAATTTGCCTCTCAATCATGTCTGGCTTTTCTGGCAAGGGGAATCACAGTGACTCAGTGAGTAAGACGTTGGCTCGCTAACCTGAAGGTCTAGTGTTCAATCCCTGCATTGGCCGAGAAAGTTCATTGGGATTTTCCAGCATGGTTCCCCCTACCAGTTGTTCGGATGGGACAAAAAAACGAGGTCCTGTGTACACATGGGCAAACATGTAAAAGACCTTTTGGCAGTTGGAATTCGATATAAGAGTAGGTCATAGCGCCGCTGTCCGGGCAAAATTTCATTCATAGCACACTGTATGGCATATGCCCGTCTTCATTAGACGAGTCGGAGCATTTCATTTATTCCCATTTAGGAAGATATTTACAATGAATTATCTCAGTTTTGATCAGATTTTTATACCTGACCTGTAATTTTTATATAAATGACAAGATTTCATCTGTTCTACTTACAAGACAATAGTGTCGACCTTCTGGGTTACTAGTTGGCATCACACAGTTTTATGTTTAATTTTGTTAATATAGAAATGTTTTATGTCTAACTTCAAAGTATAAGGAATAATTTATTTTTTCAGGTCCCGGCAATAATAAAGGTAAATATTTTTTCAATTAAAAAGTACTAAAACATTTGATCAGCCAGAACTAGGCTTGTCTAAAGCTGTAAATAGTGTTAAAACTATGCTAAATGCATGTAATGTAACTCAGTGTTAATGTGTGAGCGTACTATGGACATGACATGTTGGAATTGTGACGTCATATCAAAAGTTAAACTTTGTCAATCGATTCGCTATTGTTCAAAGAACAATATTATGCTAAGTTACCAAAAACAAGATGAGTAGAGGTTTGGTCCCTGTAGGCCTACCCTGTAACTCTTGTGGTTCAATACGTCTCTAAACTTAACAATATACAGTACCACTGCTCTAATGCAAATAATTTTTTGGGGTTTCTTTTTTAATTAAATAATTCTGTTTTTCTTACTTTAATTGTTTATCTCTCTTAATAGTTTTGTTTTTTATATTGTTTCTTATATAACTAAAGTACCAAAGAAAAATTCAGGTATGTAAAAAAAAACCCAACATTTTATCATTTACTGAAAGAAGTGTCTTCCATTGCTATTACCTTTGATCATTTTTATACACCTACATTTTCATGTGGACGTATTATGCCATCACCCCTGTTTGTCCGTCCGTGCGTCCACAATTTATTGTTGGACACTCTACAGGTCACAATTTTTATTAGATTTTGACGAAACCTAAAATATAGGTATATCTCCCAAAGATCTCAGTGCTTTTCGATATTGGCATGTATAGGAGAATAACTTGTGGACACTCTAGAGGGCACAATTTTTATACGCCCACATTTTCATGTAGACGTATATTGTCGCCCCTATCCGTCCGATTTCAATGAAACTTGAAATATAGGTTTATCACCCTACGATCTCGGGTTCCTTTCGATATTGGCATGTATCGAACTGTAACTTCATGGATTATGACCCCTGATTGTACGAAAAATCAAGTTTTTAGATTGTGAACACTGTAGAGGTCGTAATTTGTATCCAATTTCGTTTAAACTTAAAATGTATGTTTATAACCCACAGATCTCGGTTCCTTTCAATATTCGCACATATCGGAACATATGTTCCCGAATTATGGCCCCAGATTGTACGAAAAATCACGTTTTTAGCTTGTGGACCCTATAGAGGTCATAATTATTATCCGATTTGAAAAACCGTATTATTATATCACCGGCTGGGTTCAAATTTCGTGAAAATCGGCCCAAAACTGACCGACAAAATGGCCGCCCTTCGTTCTCAAATAGCGTAAAAATATGGTATGTCAATGTTGTGGACCCTCTAGAGGTCACAATTTTCTTTTGATTTTTTTGAAACTTGAAATGTAAATTAATAACCGAAAGATCTTGGTTCCTTTCGATATTCGGCATATCAGATAGTAACTTCCTGAATTATGGCCCTTGATTGTACGAAAAATCGCATTTTTAGCTTGTGGACACTATATAGGTCACAATTTTTATTCGATTTAAAAAAAAACATTTAAATATATCACCGTTACACCCTAAGGGTGGTTGAGTTCGAATTTCGTAAAAATCGGACCAAAACTGACGGACAAAATGGCCGCCCCTCGTTCGCAAATAGTGTCAAATTATTGTGTATCAGGGTTGTGACCCCTCTGGAGTCACAATTTTCCTCTGATTTTGATGAAACTTGAAATGCATGTTTATAACCCAAATATCTTGGATCCTTTCTATTTTCGTACACATCGAATTGTAACTTCCTGGATTATGGCCCCTGATCGTTCTAAATATCACATTTTTAGCTTATGGATTCTCTAGAGGTCACAATTTTTTTCCAATTTTAAAAACCTTTTAAAAACATCACCATTCCACCATAATAAGGGTTGAATTTGAATTTCGGGAAAATCTAAATGCAAATGTCCGACAAAATGACCGCTCTTTGTATGCAAATTGTGTAGAAGTGTGTTATACGAAGGTTGTGGACCCTCAAGAGGTCACAATTTTTATCCGATTTTGATGAAACTTAAAACATATCTTTATATCCCAAAGATCTCAGTCCCGTCTGATATTTGCACATTTCAGGCTATAAATTTCTGGATTATTGCCCCTGATTGTACAAAAAATCGCGTATGTTTTTAGCTTGCAAAATGTGGGCGTATCCTGCCTGGCATCTGATTTTTATGTCCCCTGTTTGTACAAAAAATCACAGTTTTGTTTTTAGCTTGTTCTCTATCCAACTCTTAATTGGATGTGGATGTATCTTGCATGGGAACCACTGGTTTAAAATTCTTGATACCTTTGATTGAAGCATGTATGCTGGAGATCCTGTGTATTTCTTTGACAACATTTCTATCCGGCTTTAAACAAGACAATTCAGATGGCCATTCATTACAGTTGCCTAATTCATGCCTCCGCTTTAAATTTGATCTTACTTTTTCTTTGATTATCTGCTGTGAAAAAAGCAATTTACACAAATATTAATCTGAATTGATCTTTTAAAGGACGATTTCCTCCGGCAAAGTGTGAAGCACTGATTTCTAAGTGTAAGAGAAAATTAGTTGGATATGAAGCTGGTAATAAAGAAAAGTGTCTGTAAGTAAAATCAAATTAAAGATTCACCACGAAGTTTAGTCTCAAAAGAGAAAGCGTGTCTCATATATATATATATTCAACATCAGTTTTCTGGTGGGGGAGCCACAGTAGCTCAGTGATTAAGAATTTGACTCGCTAAAGTATAGTAAGTATAATTGTTCGGATAGATCGAACAATCTAGGTCCTGTGTACACATTGACGTGCACACAAAAGAACCCTTGATAGTTGGAATTCGATATAAGAGAAAGCTGTAGTGCCGCTGTCCGAGCAAAATTTTCTCATAGCACACTGTAGCCCAGACGGCGCAAAACAGTAGGATGTTAAACCCCATTTCATTTCATTTCAGGTCTAATGCATGGCCAATCTGGAAATATTTAGCTTTATTCTATTGACTATATTTTAGCAGAACATTTAAATCCAATTATTTCGCCACCCAGTCTGTTTTATTTTATGAGTGCATTGATATCTTCATGGATCATGCTTGAACAGTCCTTCATGTCATTCTGTGATGGATATGGCACAGCGTAGCTAAATATCTTTACAACCTAGCTGCCACAGGAAGATGGTGTATTAAAAGAACAATAATTTCAAGTTCTACTTCTGCTTAGAAGTGTTCCAAAAATGTGAATATAGGTCAACTGCGTCTAATAACATTACATGTGTACAGAATCATAAACATAATGTAGTGGAATCTCAATCTTAAAACCATTCTACAAGCCTGGACAAAGGATACCCGTCAGTCACAGACTTTGTCACACACAAATTATCACCAAACTTATAAACGTTGTGCGATTATTTGTGCCTGACAATGTAGGTTGTGGGATAATTTGTACTTGACAAAGTCTGTGACAGGTGCCGTATGTCCTTTTTTTTTAAAACTAGTAGTTATAATAATGCCCGACTTAATAGATAATATGTATGACAGATTAATGTTTATTTTAGGCAAGGTTACAAGACAATGAGATGCTACAGAAGAGTTGCTAAAGTTTGTAAATTGGCTAGACCTATTAGAAAGGAAATCAAAGCTTTCAAAAAATCTCATATAAATACTTGTAAGTATTAGTTTCGATGTACCTTTACGTTGGCCGGATAGTTCATTATACTTTAAGCATGTTATTCCATTTCCTGGTTCCTAAATGTTATATTGTTTCAATTATTTTGAGAAATATATTTCATCATTGAGTAATGATTTGTCAATAATTGAGTGGTTTCAGACAGTTCTCTATGAAAGTCTTCCACTGAGTGAAATATTCACTGAGATATCTAATAGTCCGTTCGATATTTAATAACCAAGGCTGCACTATAGGGAGGAAATTGAATTGCAATGCATGCATCTCTTTTATGGATTGTATAACATGTACCTATATTGTATTTTATAGGTGGAAAAAAGAAGCCAAGAGATGTTGATGATGTTTATGATCTTGATGATAGTTATATTGCCTGGTTGGACAGTGATAATATTGATGCTGATTAGGCCATTACATTTTAAATAAATAAATGGTGCCTTTTAGAATTAATGTTAAAATCGAAATATGTTTTTGTATTATTCATTATGTTTTTTTTTTAAACTCGAGTAATAAAATTTCTGTAACCTGAAGCCAAGATTTTGTTTCAAGAAACTTCTTATGGAAGTATTTGTTACCTTTAGTTCTTAAGCTAGTTCTTAAGCTCATGGTCCATCTCCTACATTCTCCCACTCTGTAATGTAATATAATAATGCATATATACATATACACGTGTGTATATATATATATATATATAGAGAGAGGTAAATTAGAGAACCTACATATAAATAACCCTGTCCAATAGAGCTATTACATTAACTAAATAAAAAAATCTCAAAACATCAAAATTCTCAAAACATCAAAAATCTCAAAACATCAAGGATGGTGATCTAACAGATCTATGTGCACATGTTATCCTTGTCAGACCCACTGCTATTACAACTAGACAGTTTAAAACAGGACTCTACTCTGGAGTCAAGAAATTCTGCTCAATAGTCCAGTGTCCTAGCCGTCAAAATAATAAATAATTTATAAAAAAATATAGAAGAAAATCAGTCTAAGAAAGAATACAGTTGTGTCAAGACTAGGAATAGGGTGGTTTGAAAAAGAAATAAGTACTCCTTATGGATACTTTATATTAAGCCAGGACATAAACACATACTTGTACATATTTGTAGATCTTTAGGTCTAATTACAGCTTGTCACAGCCAACAAATTTGCATCTATAATCATGTCTGCTTGTCTGTCATTCACATTCCTTGTTAGCACAAGAGACTACAATAATCCATATATATTTCTGAAACTGATGGTTTGTGTATCTTACTGAAATGAAAAAGCATATTAATTTTTACTGGTTTTCAATAATAAAAAAGCATATTAATTTTTAATGATTTTCAATAATAAAAAAGCATATTAATTTTTAATGATTTTCAATAATAATTTCTAATTTCTAGAGTTATTACCCTGTGCGTAAATTATATAGAGGAATTAGAAATATAATAAAGGATTAAACTAACAAATTTTTGTCTACAGCAACATTGTAAGCCATTGTACCATTAAAATTAGAGGAAACCTGATGAATTCTACATTATACATCTTTGTGCATTACAAAATTCTATCTTAACATTATGAAATATTATTATGCTGCATAGAACATTAAATGTCCTACATTATTCTGTTGGAAACTATAGTATTTGTTAAATTCTACAGAAAACTATAGAACATTAATCTCTTAAAATGTGTCTCTACAAAATCTACGGAACAAAATATTTTTTCTATAGAATACCATAGGTTTACACAACTGACTTTAAGTTACACGGTTGATTTTATAGCAAAAATTCTAAAGCAGCATTAACAAATTTATAGGTTATTTTCTTCCCAATAATTTCTAAGGAAATTACACGTGGAACCACCTCAACTAGGCATCCAGATCATATGCGTAACTAATTTGTTTCAGGTCGTTTTTTCACTCACTCCGAGTGATTTGTCATTCTTTGTCCGGGGTCATGCGGTGCCATTCCAATAGTAAGAATTTAGATTTCTTGTATTCCAATCCCTTCATCAAATCTGACATGACCTGTGGGTTCTGATATATCTAAAACAACACTATAGACTAAACATGGGCTGGTCGAATGTGCGTTAACATCGGAAAATATCACAAGAATAGGTCAATGGTCGGAGAGAGAGAAATGAGATTTTAATGTCCACTCGACACAAATGAGGTCATTTCGGGACTAACACGTCGTTCAATTTTATTTAAATAATTTGCTTACCCATAGGGATCTTTAGCAGTTTGAAGAAACCGGAGGGTATAGAAAAAACCCACGAGGTTGGACAGACGACCCAACTCCTTGTCACGTACAAGCGGCGAATTGAAACCCCACAAATTGACCCAATGACAGACCCTTTGATTCAAAGCGCATGTGTTAACCATGGTCGGACCGGTTTTCTTTTGTTGGGTTTTTTTTGGGGGGGGGAGGGGTCTTCTTTTACCTTGTATGTGGCTATCTTCTGGCAAGTTCGACTGGCTAGAAAGTCCAATGTTGTCACAAAAAGCTAAAAAGCGGTAGCCTACAATTTGTTACTATTTAGCATCAGGAATTGCCAAACGATGTAATATGGAAGTAAATAATAAGATATGCCAGAATACAGATGAAGACATAGCTAATACGTTATAGCCTACTTTAGACCAGAGTGAAGTAACGGAACAAAATGTTGGTTTAATTTCAGACAAAATTACATAAAAAGCGTTACCATTCAGTTTTCAGTATTAACGGATAGTCTGGAGTGTTAACTAACTTACTAAAAATCCATCATCAGTTCGCCAGTATAAATATTTACAACGACGTAATAGTTATATTTGTCTAAATCCATGTATAAACAAGTTATATTTTCAATTATAAATTAGTGGCTGATTTAAGTTCCCAACCTTTTGTTGATAACTGCGACCCCATTCTAGAAACCATCATATGAAAGTCACCTTTTACTTGAAACATCATCCATATTTACAGATCAAAATGTTTAATGAGATACTGTGGAAACAAAGCGTGAGCGGGAGAGAGGACAGATGATTGGTAATGTGACAAGAGGTGTATAGATCAGATTTACGAAGGGTGGCTGAAAAGTGCTAAGCCTATCTGTGAAAGACCTGTACAAAGTCTATGGTTTCCATTTATTTTTCTACATAGTCACCTTCGAGGTGTACAGACACTAAGTCTTGCCAACGACGCTGCAAGACTTGGATGCCGGTCAAGAAGAAATTTTCTTCGGCCACCCTAAAAAAAGTAGTTCAAAGCTGACATGGCGTCATCATTACTTCGAAAATGACGACCGGCTAGTTCCTTTTTCATTTTTGTTAACAGGTCTCATCCGTGGTCATAAATCTGGCCCAAAAAATTATCAGGATCTGCTTCAAAACGGCACATATTGTCACGGGGCGTCAGGAACCTGACATGTTTCTGATCCGCAGTCAAGAGCTTTGGCACCCATCTTGCAAAAACTTTTATAATTCCTAACTCGTTGGCGATAGTCTGCTCAACCTTCTCATGAGAGATGCCCACAACACTGGTAATATGGCAAGTAGTCACTCGTCGATCAAAATGAAATGAAATGAAATAGCATTTAACGTCCTACTTTTCTGCTCCGAACTGGGCTAATGAAGACTGCCATACGCCATACGATACAGTGTGTTATAGGGGAAATTTTTCCCGGACAACCGGCACTACGGCCTACTCTTATATCGAATTCCAACTGTCAAGGGATCTTTCACGTGCACGCCAATGTGTACACGGGACCTGAGATTTTCGTCCCATCCGAACGACTAGGCAGCTGTCCTTGTCAGGCCCTCCGTCCTACATCACTGACAAGGGGGGGGGGGACCACGCCGGAAAATCTGGATGAACTTTCTCAGCCAATGCAGGGATCGAATACCCGACCTCTAGGCTAGCGAGCCAGCGTCTCAGCCACCGTGGCCCCACACTCGTCGATCAGTCATCATCATGTCAATAATGTCATGCCCCCAGGAAATGTATTCTTAAAAGGTTGACGTTGATGGCCTTCCAGGACGCGGGCCATCGCCAAGGTTCTCTTCCGCAGCCCATTTCTTTACTGTGGAAAGGAAGGAACATCATTCTCTGATCGCTAGCGATAATGTGCTCAATCCTCTCATGAGAGATGCCCACAACACTGGCAATATGTCGAGTGGTCAATGGTCGATCAGCCATCACCCTGTTATGCACCGGGGTAATGTTTCCTTGAATGGTTGCTGTTGATGGCCTCCCAGGACGCGGGTCATTGTCAAGGCTCGAGCATAATCCCCCTAAAGTCGAGACCATGTTATGTATTTGTGTTGGGGGTAAGTCGTTTCAGTTGCAGGTATTTGATGGCTGCCTTGTAGCCAGTGTGTCCATTTCTGGTGATTTCAATGGGTAGGTTCACAAGATGGTCTGGTATACGAAGACAATAATAACACTACAGTTGCAGTTCCTATGTCTATGATTTTTCAGTGATTGCACTTATTGGAGGAAAAAGTTGTTTCGGGCTTGGATTTTTTCAGCCAACTTCTGATTTTCGTACCATTCGAACGACTAGCCCAGCACGACTCACAAGGGAAACGAATGGGTCACCGCATCTAGGGTCACCGTATGTAGCTCCGTGTGCGATAATACCCACTGAATAGAAATGAAAAATGAAATGGCGTTTAACGTCCTATACTGTTCTGCTCGAATTCAAATTGCAAAGGATCTTCTTAGTACACACCAATGCGTACACGGGACCTCGACTATACATTCATCCTTGTCAGGTCATCCATCATGCACAACTTATAAGGGGAAACCACGCTGGAAAATCTCGATGAACTTTCTCGGCCAACACCGGGAGGGAATCCGCGACCTCCAGGCTAGCGAGGCAGCGTCTTGCTTACTTTGCCATCACAGAGCTCCCCCACTGAAAAGAACAAACAATGATTATACTGAAACCGTCTAGTTAGTGGGACAGGACCTTAATTAAGTCACAAAGGTTACCTTTTCTGTGAACATGCGTTATGACAGTACATTAAAAGAAATATAATAGACATTCAATTATGATACATTTTTGGATAAGAAAAATAGTGAAAGCAGGTTGTTTAATAAGTTATATAATGTGAAAAAATTGCTTAAAATATCCCAGATAAGAATTTGCATGCTGTTAACAAAAACAGAGCCAGACAGAATTAATCGATTAAAAAATAACATCAATAGCGGCCGTCATTTTGAACTCCATGCAACGACAGAGGTGTGAATTGTATGTGCTAGCATTAAGGGGGAAGCTATGGAGCGGTCTTGAGGTCGGTACGTAAAAAGAATTAATACATTTTTCAATTTGGCATGTTTGACTACATGAGGCGTATTCAAATTACATTGTATGCAATTTTTCTATTTACATGTATTGTTAAATAACTCCTCAAAGTCATCGCTGAAAGATGTACATGTACATGAATCATACCAATTTTTTTTAGAAGTTTTCAAGTTTAACATACGCTTGTGAATAATACTTTAGGCTACATAGGCTACTATAATATTGTCTATTACTAAGCCGGTATGTGCTTGGATTTTGAATAATTAGGTATGTCAATGGTTATTTTCTAAATAATAGGCTATCCAAAATTAGATATATTTATTTTCTTGGAAAGAGTTATATGGCTCTTTAAAAGTACATTTATTGATTAAGGCTTACATTTATTGTGAAAATGTTTCTGTGACGTTTGAAGAAACTTACAGACTTACAACAATCTCATTCAGTCGCTTTCGCTTCTCGTTGTGAAACAATTTCAAAACTTTTATTAGACTACATTATAATTGATTATAATGTTGATGGTTGCGAAAACTAATTGCCATGAGCTAAAAAGGTGTTTGCAAACTTTGTAGCTGTTGCACAGTCTAGGATTTATTTTAATAGGCTTGAATATTTGAGAAGTAAACCGGATTGACCGAATACAACTGCCGTAATTCCCGTTTTTCATATACTATTCAAAAAAAGTAGGGGATATTTAATTTTGGGGGCATAATACTAAAATATGCAAATGACTACGAAAAAAGTCACTATAGAACCTAACAGAAGAAACATTTCCAGTTACATGTGACGCCCAAACGCACCAATAGCTACCGCATGGAATGCAGGTGATGCTTGGGATCATCATGGGGGTCCAACCCAAGATTTGCACGACTCTGACTTTGAATGTTACAGTCATTGTGGCATTGAATTCCAGGGTGGAAACATCAGTTTAATTGTTTTAGTGACCAGAAAACAAATTTTGATATGCGTCGGCTTACCCAAAATGAAAGGTTACGTGCCCTTGGCATGCTACAGATCGGCACAACACAGGCGGTTGTGGCGCGGACGATGAATGTTTCTCAGTCTGTCATAAGCAGGCTATGGTCCAGATACCGTGATACACAATCTGTATAGGACAGACCACGCTCAGGTCGACCAAGGGCGACAACTCAAGCCCAGGATCGATTTATCCGTACCTTGGCCTTGAGAAATCGTGTCATCACAGCAAATCAGATCAGCGCTCGTCTTCAAACAGACACTGGTGTGAGAGTGAGTGGCCAGACGATTCGGAATCGACTGCATAGGGGTCACCTTCGCGCCCGACGTCCTCGCGTGATCCCTTTTTTGAGAGATCATCACATTCAGGCAAGACGTCGTTGGTGTAGGGATCGTCAACACTGGGATAATCGACGCTGGAGCAATGTGATGTTTTCAGATGAGTCAAGGTTCACTGTTGATTTTTTGGACAGACGTAGGAGGGTGTGGCGTCGTCGAAACGAGCGCTTCCAAGACGTTAACGTCATCAGACATGATCGATTTGGGGGTGGTTCTGTTATGGTGTGGGGGGGCATCACTGTTGCTGGAAGAACGGCTTTACATGTTGTTGCAGGGCGTGTTACAGGCCAGTACTACCGGGACAACATCTTGGCAGTCCATGTTGTGCCGTTCGCACGACGTCATGGCCGCCCTTTTTATCTTCCAGGATGACAACGCAAGATGTCACAGGGCCAGGATCGTTACAGGTTACCTCCAACAACAGAACATCACCACATTACCTTGGCCAGCACTGAGTCCCGACCTCTCCCCCATCGAGCATGTCTGGGACATGCTTGGACAGAGGTTACGTCAACGTCAACAACGTCCTGCCAATGTCCAAGAACTTGCTGCTGCGTTGCAACAGGAATGGGACAATCTGGACCAAAATGACCTTAGACGTCTCATTAGGAGTATGCCACGTCGGATCAATGCTTGTTTGGCAAACAGAGGAGGATTTACCCGTTACTGACTTGGTTGTGATGCTGTGGTAACTTTGCTGTTTGACCCCGGGTATCATTTTACCCTTATAATGGTCAGTCTGTGCCTTACTTAGTCTAACGATCATTTGGAATAAATCGATGAATGTGAACTTCATTTCATTTTGTCATTTGTTTCTTCGTCAGTTTCATTAGGTGACTTTAATAACACTTAAAAATCAAATATCCCCTACTTTTTTTGAATAGTATATAACAAAAGATGATTGCAAATGTGTACTTTGTTTGGATATTAGGCCTATTAAGCTGAGGATGAAATAGTATTGCTCCATTATATCTTTCTGGAACCACCGTGCTATCACCGAATGGATGGATATGACTAAGTAAGCCTATAAAGCTGTTAATTAAACTTTAGAACATTTTCACAAGTCCATATAGACCTGTTTCTACGGTTGTAATTTGTACTTCATGCAGTTCGTGCATACATGTTAAAATTTTAAAATAGAACGTGGAAAAGCTTCTTTTTTTTGCGGTGTGGGGGAATTATGTTTTAAATTATCCTGTTTCTACGGTTGTAAAGATAATATAATTTGTGCTTAAAAAAAATGCAGTTCGTGCAGACATGTTAAAATGGAAAAGCTATTTTGGTGGGGGGATGAAATAATGAAGTCAACATTTATTGTAGGGGAGATAACCACGTTTACTTTGAAAATTCACGTGATATTCTAGTCTACCACCCCGTATTATCCAGCCACTGTGTACATTCAACGAAGGTCGCAATTTTATGTAAAATTGAGTAGAATATTGGAGTTAATTGAGGTCAAGATACAGGAAGTTAGCTAATTGACACCAACACTAACAATTAAATCCCTAAGGAATGGTTTGATTCAACTAAACGTAAGTAAACTGTGTCTGTTAGCTTGTCTTTGTTTTTCTTGAAATCCGACATTTTATCGAGGTCCATAAATAAACATCAGTAGGCCTATATCAGTGTCAGAAGAGAACGTTGTTGTTATTATGCGCGTTTTGAACAGCTAGTTCTAAAAAGGAAAGGATTGTAATAATTAAAGCTAGGTAGGCCCTTTTAATTAACGAACGAATAATATGCTCAAATACAAAATAAGCCACGTAATTTCATGGTTAATGTAAGAACTATTATTAGCAGGCTGCCAGGGGCGTACGGCCGGGGCGTACCGACTGATGCACAGACCCCTAATAGTAATACGAGTGTATATTATAGGCCTTCTCACGCAGAAATACCATTTCCTTGACTTTGAGGAAAAATGTTGGACGATTTCTGGTGGTCAGAAAACACTGACCAGGTCCCGTGTATACATTGGCATGCACGTAAAAGATCCCTTGACAGTTGGAATTCGATATAAGTGTAGTCCTGAATGCCGCTGCCCGGGCAAAATTTTTCTCATTGCATACTGTATGGCGTATGCATGACCGTCTTCATTATAGCCCGGTTTTGAGGCGTTCATTGAGGCGTTCCTGTTTCATTACTGAACGCAAAATAGTTTTTACTAATTTGAGCTTTCAAAAACTGGCTCGTATTGTGATATCCAACGCAATCATAGATCAGATATATTCATACATATTAAGTATTTGGGGAGAGAGAGAAATGGGGTTTAACGTCCACCCGACACAAACTAGGTCATTTCGGGCGTAACAAATGGTTTAATTTTATTTCAATAATTCGCTTGCGCGTAGGGGTCTTTAGCAGTGGAAGAAAACGGGAGGACCCGGAGAAAACCCACGAGATTGGACAGGCGACCCTACTCCTTGTCACGTACAACGGAGGATTCGAAACCATGCCAGTTGACTCAATGACAGGCCTTATGATAAAGCGCGCACGTGCTAACCATTCGGCCATCCAACCCCTCTAAGTATCTGGGATTTCTTCCTTCTATTTTGGCAGTGTCTGTTTGCTTTATTAATTCATTTAGTTGCCGAGATGCATAATTTTTAGACCGATCACGACTGCCCCCCCCCACCTCCCGAGACACGTCCCTGTACCTATTTCATTTTAAAAAAAAAAACAAACAAAAACAATTCGGATAGTATTCAACGTTCAACAATTATTTCTTGATTAATTTGGACAATTGCCAGTCCCAACAACGCCTACAGTTTAATACAGTTCGATTATTAACCATTAAATATGGTTAATTAATCACGCTGTCATTGCAACGTCTATAGTCTAACCCAATGAATAACTATATTTGATCTGTGATTCGGGTAATTAATTTATGAAGCTCTGAAGCCACTAAATTGCTCAGTACAAGTCACCGTCGAAATCAACATGTCCGTTTTAATTAATACTACAAAGGTTAATTTTTTTTAACAAACGAATTCTTATCATTTGTGGCTAGGTGGGTAAGGCGCTGGCTCGCTAGCCTGGAGGTCGGGTGTTCGATCCCTGCATTGGCCGAGAAAGTTCATCCCGATTTTCCGACGTGGTTTCCCCTTGTCAGCGATGCAGGACGGAGGGCCTGACAAGGATAGCTGTCTAGTCCTTCGGATGAGACGAAAAACCGAGGTCCCGTGTAAACATTGGAATGCACGTAAAAGATCCCTTTGCAGTTGGAATTCGATATAAGAGTAGGCGATAGTGCCACTGCCCGGGCAAAATTTCCCTCATAGCATACTGTATGGCGTATGGCCGTCTTCATTAGCCCAGTATAGGAGCAGAACAGTAGGACGTTAAACCCCATTTCATTTCATTTCTTATCATTTGATTACTTATGTTTTAATACAAGTACAATTTCATGGATACACAATTACTGAGTTTAATACTAAGCGCAGTGCCGGACTGGGCCCACCTGTCCACCTGTCCGTGACAGGTGGGCCTAAGCTCATTAAAAAAAATGGGCCTAAGCCTATAAAGAAAAAAAGAGAAAGAAAAGAGAAAGAAAGGAGGGGGGAGGAAAGAAAAGAAAGAAGGGAGGAGAGGAGAGGGCAGAGGACATGAGAAAGAAAAGATAGGAAAAAAATGACTGACAAACAACACAAAAAAAGAAGTGTACTACAAGGAAAGAACTTTATGAGTTTGACCTCATTATACCGAGAACCGTGTAATTCATCTTTTAACTTCTTCTTAGTTCTTCATAAGTCATTATCGCCGAAATAATCGCCAAAAACTTGCCAGTTTTGAGTTTTTCGCGAAAAATTATATTCTGTGATGTGCGTCAACAGAACTGTCAAATACGTGTACTGTATGTATATTATAATTTGCATTATTTTCATCACGTAGAATAAAAGGTTTTGTTTTTTGACACTGAAGAGAATTCTCAAATTCATCTAATGATAGTGCTCTTGGGTCATTCTGTTATCTAATTGTATCATGAAATCAAAAATTTGCCTTCTTCTGCTTTGGTCTGAAATGCTTGGAAAATGGGTTTGCGGTTGTCAATTTTCAAAATTTTCCGGGGGGGGGGGGAGAATCCCCCAAGACCCCCCTCGGACGTGCCTTTGGCGCGAACTTGTGTGGGCCTTGGTCAATGACCTGACAGGTGGGCCTTAGTCACACCAGTCCGGCACTGACTAAGCGACGTCAAACTCAGTAATTGTGTATCCATAAAATTGTACCTTGTATAAATATGTTCAATTACTAAATGCCAATCAAAGAAGATATACGTCATCAGTATGGAGATGTGGCTACCAGACTAATTTACTAGATTGTGAAATCAGAGGACAAGCATGAAAGTGAATTACACCAGAATTCCTTATGCTAGGTTCCCACTATCACGATTCGCGCTACGATTGAAATCGTAGTTTTAATCATGGTGATCCTATCAGGTCTTACCAGATATTGTGGTCAGTCGTACAAATCGTGTTGATCGTATCGAAACGTATCCGAATGTATCTGCACATACGAGTAAAAATAAGTGTCTTAATCCCCACCTAATTAACATGATCTTTCAATAAACTGATGTGAAAGATAGGCACGATAACATTGACTTTTCGAAAAGTAACCAGATACCGTAAGAAGATCTTAAAGTGTCAATAAAATGTCTTGAAATAGATTCAAGCTATTGAAAACCATTAATGACATTAATCATGAGTGAGAATGAAAGTTCCATTGGGGACATAATGGGGTAGGACATTTTTCTGCACCATTGCACTCTATAAGATCATTATTAAAGCGGTTTATGAAGCTGTCCAAATTCCAAATCCCCTGATCCTACATATTGATTACAGTTGGTTTATTGTGAGTCTGACGTAAGACGGGCACATGTAAATAAACATACTGACTAGAGTTAAAGGAGAAGTACAGCCGTTACAAATTCCTTTTATTTTCTACATTATCTAGTAGTAAAATAGTTTCTGCAATTCAGAACCCGAAGTGTAACTCATTTTGCTTTTCAATAACAAATTAAGACCCTGGTGGAGATGTCATCAGAGTAACTGCCAGCTACTGTTAATAAACCAATTAGCTCAACCGATCATGCTATATAATATATACATGTAGCTGGTCTAGTACTGTGTAAATATGCAGTAAGAAAGACATTGGGTCAAAGATTTGTATACCACAGGCGCCACTTGTTTCGTTTACAGTGTTTAAAAATTACCCCCACGTCACAGTTAATTTGTTAATTGAAGATGAAACTTTTACGTGGATTTAATAATGGAGAATGGCTGTAAACTAGTTCAACACTAAATAATAATGAACATGTAAAGCAACGGCTGGACTTCCCCTTTATGATATTTTAAAGTGACAAGATCTCCAGTGAACACATTGCACATCCGCACACCTTGCTCCACTTAAAATTTACTTTAATAAGAATATAAGACATGTCTCTTTAAAAAAAACTTACAAGGTTAACTTGACCTAACGAAAAACAGAATCAAGTTAATGTGTAGTTGAAAAAGCAATCTCCAGAAACAATTTGATTTGATATCCATATACATTGTGCCCTAGGCTCTCGAATATAAATTACAGTCTGTATAAAACAGTCGATATTTTAAAGAAATAATACCCAACTTTAAATTTACGTAACACAGTAACTTATCAACATTGATTAATATGGTTGAATCAACCGAGTTAGAAACAAGAATTGGGTTAATACTTCTCGGAAGGATATGAACATCGTAAAGAAAATCGATCAATACCATATTTACAGTCGGTCGTCTTAAACTTAAAAATAATCCACCGACTGGTTACTTCATTCATTCTCTTATATAGGTCATTCCTGTTTTCAACTATGTTAACAATAAAATTGCTTAACAGTCAATTCCCGCGGAACAAAACCAAATCTGTAAATATGGGAAAATAGCGACATTGTGCGTCATTAAACTGCAAAAAGTGTACTATTTGACTTCAGCACTCGATTTTCAGAAATAAAAACAGAGTCTAAGTAGATCAAAATCCGAAATGTTTGACTTTTTATGGCTGACGGTCAAAAGCCAACCCAAATGCTAGATGTCAATATGATGAACACGGTGTTATGGATATAATATTTTCTTTTTACAATTTTGAGTCTCTTGGATTTGTACGCTGTGTTTTGAAACAATGTCTTCACATGGACAATTGTATAACATCTAGTGTATGTGTTTTGTGAAATTGTGTATTCTTCTGTAGCCAGACCTTAGACATTTTATCTGAAAAACTGAATCTACATTACCCGAGAACAGTGACAACACGTGATTGGTTCCGTTTCCGTTACGTGTGTTCGTGTCATGTCTGATAAATCTATATATATAGATTCCCAACAGAATAATATGACTTGGTGCCAATCATTTCTATGTAAATATATATCTTAACCATTGTACTTGTCAGTTCCACCATTATTTCTCATAATTAGGCTGTCTGGGGTCATGGTTAATGACATAATCCTAAAGAAGCATATACTTCTTGAAACCTAGGTTGTTAACAAAAGTACTGGTTTTGTAACATC